GCAAGAAGTTTTTTGGAAGAATCTAATTTTTTCTCACAGCAGAAGTGTCACATGGCTGCTGGATAGGATGCTCCCAGGGAGCTGGGGAGGGTGAGTCTCACTTTGGGAAAAGGATGGTCCATCCTTTGGATGGATAAAGGCAAGGCCACAAGTGCTATTGCATTATTTTTCACAAATGGGTTAAGCAATTTTATTTTAGACTATTGTGTATTTTACCTCCAGACCTTAGAATATGAGGCAACAGACAGCATGTTGAGCAAGCAACGTTAGCAGGTGAGGAATTTAACTTCAATTGGTCCTGTATTCCATGACTTTCTTATTTTCTTAATGCTATTTAAAAGTAGCTCTGCTGTGAATGGCTAAATTTGTTCTCTGAAGCATGCTGCTGAAATGTAAACATCATACAACTTTGATTTCCTATGAATAGAGAACACATGCTGTTACTGAAAAGAACATACAAGGTTGCCAAGCGTTTAGAAACCAAATGTTAATTATGAGTCAGAATGGGAGGACACAATGAGCTTTTGCCCATTCATTGTGGCAAAGAGATAATTTCTAAACCTTTACAAAAACTGTACTTTGCAGGTCTGTTTGCATTCCTGTATTTTGTCAGGAGAGTGGCATTTCCACTCCTTGCAGACGATCAGTGTCTGCAGGCACTGTCTAATGCTGTTGTCTACCTTTACGAGGAGGTCATCAGCATCTTGCCTGTGCTCATGTTCACAACCATCCTCATGAATCAGGGTTAAGACGTTCAACTTTAAACAGCCCGACTGTGTTGCAGATGTGCTGTCAATGCTTTTATAGGTCAAATTACACAATGGTGTTTTTACTTTTTCATGGAAACGTACCTCTTTCTGTGTGTATTAGTCTCTATGTCAAGTTTGGAATGTGATAATAACATAGTCATGAACCTGAAGCATCAAGAGGCGTCAAAATAAAACCAACTACAAGCAACTGGTTCATCCTCCCCAAAATTTCACCAGCAGCAAGTGAAGATGAGGCCTATTTTTATCAGTGGCTGAATGACTGGATCCTGACACATGCAACTTACCAAACCAAAGCTGTGCACTTAGTAGAAATTTTGGCTTCCTTTTGCTTTTCCAGGTGCTAATATCTTAAGCAGCTTATTCAAAAATAAGGTAAGGGCACAGCCTCCCCCATTTCCAACATGTAAGTCAGCTGGGAGGAACTCTCACTGCTGGGTAGTGACTGGCAGGAAATAATGCACACTTTACTCTTGCTGACACAATGGAGGTTATTGCAAGAACACATCTTGCTTTATTCAAATAACCATTTTGGAAACAGGCTTTGTTTCTGTACCTTGTATTTCAGCACTGTCAGACTCTAAACCCAGCAGAGCACTCTGTGTCCAGCTGTTCTCAAGACAGCCATCCCTTCCATTCTCCAGGAAACACTGTTCTCATGAGATTTCTAACACAGCCCATCCCCTGTTCAAAAGGCTTCGGTAGGCTTGAATAAACATCTGACCTTCTTGAGGAAGAAAATGTAAACCTCCCTCCCCTCCCACTCTAGCTGTGGTTCTTTTTGAGGTTCTTTTCTACTGTCTATTTATCAGGCAAAGACAATATGCTTGACCCTATATAAGGACAGAAGACTTTCAGATTTAAAGAAGCTTTCAGCTATAATGGAAACAACTGAAGAAGTTCAAAATTGTGAATAAAGTATGTAGGAAGTAAGTTTTAATTTGTTTCACATTGTGAAGAATACACAGAATAAATAAAGCCCCTTGTGCTTCTAGGTACACAGCATATGATGAACCCCATCTCCAGCTCAGTCTGACAGCTGCTCCCATAACTATATTGCAGGTTTGGTGGAAGAAGTGAAGAACTGTGTGGCTTGATCAGCCAGGATTTGGAAGGTCTTTCATGCTTTGATTTTACTAAAGCATTGCTATTTTCAGCCAATTGTAAAGTGTGCCATCAAAACCCAAAAGTCACTTAAAAGGATGCGGGTTTTCTTTTTTATTAACTGCATGCCTTTTCACTTGCCATTTTTAACTGAACATTTCCTGTCCTCCAAATCGTTCTAGGTTCAGCCTCCAAGAGAGTAGCAAGGGAAAATCAGGCCATTTAAAAATAAAATAGATTACTTCTGCACAGCTTTCTTTAATCAAAACCATTATAACTGATGGCTCAGAGCCTTGATTACACCTCTTCAGAGGGCACCCCTTGATTTTGTGCGACATCCCTGATTATTTTATTTACTTATTTATTTATTTATTTATTAGCTTTTACTTTCTGCCTTGATTTCTAGGTCACAGAGTTGAGGCTCTTTCTTGTTTTAAGTGCTTTGTCTTGTTTCTCAGTGGCAGATTATTTTTCTTACAGGGGCTATGAAGTAAACATGCTCCTTTTTCAGAGGAAGACAAAAATTCCCGTGATCACATATTCCTGGAGTTCTTTCTCTTCCTCCCCAGCCCCTGTGGAGAGCAAGACTGGACCAAGAGTCATTCCTCCCGACCTCTACCAAGCACCCGCAGAGCTAAGGGCCAAAAGGTCATTTTCTCAGATTCCCTCTGGAGGGAGAATCCAAAGGTCATTCCCTCCCGCCTCAACTCACCCCAAGTGCATCTGAGAGACATTTAAAACTCCTTTGAAGAGGAAGAGACGGAGTCTGTGTGCTTTACCTACTGCCCTCAACAGCCAAGAGATGTGAACCAGGGTTATGCATGAAATGTTTCCCTTGACGCTCAGGCTTACTCAGGCCTGGCTTTGGGTTCAAGGTCTGGCACTTTGTGAACTTCATTGGGGATGGGCAGACATTGCTCACACAGCTGTGAAGTGGGCCTGTTTCTGCTTCCTTTTCTGTTCCCCAAAGCAGCCTTCTCCTTCCCACAGCCCTCAGGATGCTCCTCCTCCCAGAACTGGGTTTTACTAGTAAATTTACCAGACACCATTAGGGAGTGGGGTTGAACAGCTCTTAATCTCTTGATGTTGCTGGTTCTTGGGAATGGAGCTGCAGGGATCATTTTATAAGTCCTCTTAGAAACCAAACCCAGGTAGACTCACCCAGTCTCACCCCGAGCTCCTGCTGCTGATGCCCACTGCTTTGCCATTCATGAACCCTTGGACTGGTTTTGGAACCACAGGGCATTTCCCAAGAGTGAAGTAAATAGTTAAGGTCCTACGTTTCATTCTCATCCCTTTCAAGCAAAAAGTCTCTTTTTTTTTCTTGCTCTCCAAATGAACAAGCGAGATTTCTTATTAATTTCTTTGACCTGCCTGAGGGAGGAAGGAAGAGAAGAGCAACAGTTATTTCACAAGGTCCCCTGCAGAAGGGGGGCATCAAGGGTCACTTCCTCTCAATCTGTCCCCTCCGAAGGAGTGCAGTTAGGCTGTGTCAATGCCATGGTCTCATTGTGGTCGATATGCAGCCAGAGGTCATCCCCTGCCCCAGCCCTGCTCTTGCTGCGGGTGCCCACACTCTCCTGCATGCCTACTTTCTCTCACACATGGGGGGCAGGGGAGATTAGTTCTTTTTCCCTCTCTCTGTTTTGTACAGAGAGAACTCACAAGTCACTACCTGGGCCCCTTTCGGAAAGAGACAATAGAAAAAGGGCAGTTCCTAGGGTTTTATTTTCTGAGGATTCTTCAGGCTGCTGGGGCATAGCAGAATTAGCTGAGCAAAGCTTTACAATCCAAATAAAAATGAAATGCTGAAGTAAAGGTTTTGAGCCACTTGGAGGCTTTTGTAACACTGTCCAGAGCAGCTGCAAATCCACTGCAAAATTTCTATTGACGCTTGGGTACACACTAGCCCTAAATTTAGGGAAAATGCTAATCTCCTGTGAAGAACTGTAAGAAAGCAAGGCTCATGTGAAATATACCAGAAAATCTTGTTTCCGTGTTACCAGACAGAAAACAATAAGTAAAAACACCTATCCTGCTTGTTGTTTTGAGGTTTGGGTTGTGGCAGGTAACTCCCTCAGGGCTTGATCTGAACCCTTCAAAATAATGCAAGTGTTCTGGTTGAATTTCATGCTCTTTGGGTCAGGCCAAAACCAGGCTTCCATCTTCACATTAGTCTCTGGGAAGATCTTTAAGGATCTAACGTAGAATTAAAAGTTTTTGTCAAGAGCTTCCTTTTCACAGGTGATCTGATTCTTTCAAGTCTGGAAGCTAACTTTTGTTCAGAGATAGGGTCTGCAGTTCCCGCTAAAGTCAATGAGCTTGTATTTGCCACCTCCAAAGCAGAACCAAGGGAAATAAGCACTGTGTAGCTGCTTACTTTAGGACAAGAATTTGGCCCCAAGATTAAAGAAAAAAACGTACGTTGTCCAGGCATCCTACAATTTCACCCTTAACTATTTTAAATGATGAGAACAGCAAGCTGCTCAGAAAGGATGTGCAGGCTTTTTATGTGCTCATAAGACTGACTGAATAGCAAAACTAATTTGGCAACACAAATCATCATGTACTCAGAACTTATTCATGAACTCCTTGGCAGGATTCAAAGCTCCTTTTGACACACTCCAAGACTGTTTAGAGGAGAACATATTCTAGTCCAGACTATTTTCTTTTCTCCTCCTTCCCACTTCCTCTACAAAGCCAGAATGACTTCTCTTACGACAGATGTTGACTCCTGGTACTGCGATTGCAGTCGCCACACTTCAGCACACTAAAAATGAGCCCAGAATTTCCTATTCAGCTCTTGAGATAACGCACTGTTTCCATAGAAGACATGTGGAAGAACTTCAGGTTTATACCCTAGGTGATGCTGTGAGGCTTTGGTGGTAAATGGCTGCAAAATGTCCTGAGATCCCAAAGTAAGTGCGCAACATTGGTGTTCTACAGCACCTCAGAGCTCTCAAGTTCCAGACTGGAGCGATTCATCAGTGCTCTAGATGACTCCCCTTCAAACAAACAATTTGCAAATAGAAGTGGCATACTGTTCTACACACTGGGCTGCACATTGGTGGGATGCTGGTCCTCTGCACAGCACCAAGCCTTTCTGTGCATGCCCAGTCATTCCAGGATCCACTCTTCTGCACAGACTTGCTTGTTTCACTCAAGTGTGAGCTCGTACTGCCACCCGTGATCTTGGATCTGTGGCCATGACATGGATCATTACACACTTCCTGTGATGATTTGTTTATTGCTACACAGTAACACAGATGAACACAATGAATTTCAGTCACTGGACTACCCTTTCCTTCCCTCCTTCCCCAAATGCAAAGTACAAATCCACTTAAAAAGCAGAGATCTTTCTACTTGTAACTGAAACTTTTATCTGCATAAGAGGATAAATTCATTAGCTTAAGCTGTGTGATTGTAACAGCTCATTAGCAAGAGTTGTGCCTTTCAGAATGAACGGCCTCCAGCCCTGCATAGAAACTGTCAAAGTTAAGGATAAAAGTATGGGACAACTTAACCACCTTGGAATGCAATTTCTTATTTTTAACTATGCAGACCACAGGGTTGATGAAAAGATTTTAATGAACAGCCACAGGCCTGACATTCAGATCTTCATTTGTGTCTAATTGCAAGCAGAATATGAAATTGATAAATTGATCTTTCTTGGCAAGAAAAAAATACAAATTTTAATTTATGGTGATTATGCTTTCGGATTAATTTTGACCAATTGCCTGGTTTTGTTTGTTTGTTTGTTTTTATGGCAAAATAAACATTTTGATTTCAGGTTTAACTACTGCAAAATACTGCTGTAAAAATCTTAACATGGCTACTCTGAAACCAATCAGAAACCTGCCTCTTCTAAACAGAAAACGCAGTAATTAGTCTTACTAATTTGTTGAAAGAAATAAATGATACAGTAGAGTTCTCAGCCATTTGTCAGGTCAAGAAAGTTATTATATGGTGCTTTTTCATCTGTGGAATCTCAGAAGGCATGGCCTTGATGAAGCAGGGCATTTGCAGCATTTTATAAAATGTATGAGGGGAGATTGGAACATATTTTTCAATCTTCCCCTGCCAGCCTCCATGGCTTTAGTCAATTTATGCATCATCTGTCAAAGTTCAATACGGGGCACTGGGTCCCAAAATGTACTTTGCAGCATCCATAGCAAATCTTCTTATCTCCGCTTTCACTATCTGAGCAACATATGCATTACAGTGGAATTTGGGATCAGCTTTTAGGGTGAAGGGTGAAACGCTTACTTAGATAACCTACACTATCTTGGCTTCAAGTGTAATGTTCAGGTGTGGATAAATGCTTTTCATTTTCCCCAAAGATAAATGATAAAAGATACAGTTTTATACTAGGATTTATAGACCTCTGTACCCACATACACATGGACATCAAGCATTTGTTTTAAAATGTACATTAAATACAAATATTGCAAAAGCAAGTTTTCAATTATGCATCTCTGAGGAAAATGATGCCATTTGGCAGAGCATGATGGCTCCTGTAAGCCACCAAAGTGTGCCCTTAAATTATCAACGTGCCTTTCTGGCTTCACTGTTCTTACTTAATCCAAACAAAGATCAGTATCTTTCCTTCCCCTCAAAGAAAGGAAACTACACGGTTTTGTGTGTGTAGCAGCACTACAACTTCACAAGAGTTAACAAAACTTTACAAAGGAATTGTGCGTGGGGAGGCTCCAATGCTTTATGCACTTCTTTTCCCAAGTACAGCTTCTACTATAGCAGATTTTTTTGGTTGTTTTCGCAGCTATTCTGTTTCCACACTTGCCGCATTTTTGCTTTGTTCTCCCGTATGTCATTTGAGAACAATGTGCGTGTCATGTGAGGTAAGACGCTATTGGCATGGAAAGGCAAAGTCACAAATGGCAATTATTGTCGCAGGGTGCAACTGAGGAAAAAGATACCTGATTTTTAAGTTCATTCTTTAAAATGTGATCTCTCATTTACAGTGTTACAACGAGTTGTTGCAGAGTATTTCTCCTTCACAAAGCCCAGCTGTACATAAAGTTTTTCTAATTATACAGCTATTTGCAGGTAACAATCTTTATTGGAAAAACAGATTTACCTAGGTTTTGTGCCAGGCAAATACAAGGCTTTTTTTCCTCAGAAAAGTCCTCAAGGTCCAAGTGTTTTAAAATAGGTACGCTTATCTGTCACAAAATAAAAAAATCACTATTCCACTTCCTTATGGCCAAGAGCCACCGGGCCTTTTAGCGTCTACATACACTATTGAGGTTTGGCCTGACAGACTTTCAACAGCACCGAATGCTCACAAACCAAACCCAGCCGCCTCTCCCCGTAGCCCTCCCGCGCCCACCCTCTCTCACGGCGGCCTCAGCCGTTAACGGCACCGCCCCGCGGGGGCCCGCGGCCGGCTGCGCGCCCGCTAGCGCCGCCGTCGCCCCTGTCTCTATCGCAACGCCGGATTGGCTAAGCGGCGTCGGGAAGGTATCCGCTGATTGGTTGTGTCCGGGTGCTGTTGCTATGACTCCGTTGCTAGGGCCTCGGCCGTCTCCAGGCCCTGCAGGATACATGTAATGAATTATGGATGGTTGATTTTCTCAAAGAGGCCTGATCTGTAATGCAGATGAGCTGCAAGGCCCTCCTTTTCTTCTGGGTTCTTAAAAAAAAAAAAAAAAAGTAAAAAAAAAAATTTGAGTTTTTAAATCAGAATCTGGCATTTGCGTGGCTGTCCCCAGTCACAGCGGTAACTCCTGAATACTGATGTTAATTCTTATGCAAAGGCAGGGCCAGAGGTCACTATCTGTTATTTGTTCAGGAAAAGCTTGTAGGATTTTCGCTGAACTCTGTGACCCATTGGGATATTATGTCCTCCCCCCGGCCTTTGGTTCAGAGACAAAATAGGATGCAAACACCAGAAGTGGTATTTTTTAACAGTTGGAGAGGAAATTGTCCCCATGGAGTATGATGGAGTAGGATGAACCCAGCAGCCAAGCCAGCCAGCATGCTGGATTTTCTAGCCTCCTAAAAGGTGCCTTTGCCCAAATATGACCTAAAACTTTCTGTTGGTGCAGTTTGTTCATCTCAGGCCTTCACTAATGGTTGGAATAGCCTTTGACTGAGGAGAGCTCCCCTGTGAGTGCCACATCTATAACATGCCTGCTTTACACAAGTGCGAAACTGGATGTTGTTACTCAGAGATAACTCTCCAGCTGGAACTCCCCACATGAACAAAGCCTCTGATGTTTCATACCTGAACAAACAGGTTGCTACAATTCACTTAATTTCCCTAATCATCTATTAAGAATTACAGTGGATGTTATACTATGGAAATTATATTTTCCTATACCTAATGTAACTAATGAATACTGATGTCAGAAGAGACAACTCTCTTTTGATACAGAGTTTATTTGTTTGTTCTTTATATTGGTGATAAATCATGTCAATCCTTTCTGTGTCGAGCCTCTGGGGACAAATGTCAATTGAAAAATTACTGATTTTAGAGAAAATAATGAGCCTGATCCTTATTTTGAGTCAGATTGTGTAATTTTGGGTGGACTCAGCCAAGCGTGGGCCTTCTCAGTGGAGGTATCTCGGTACCTTGAAGGTTCATGACCAATGTGAGGGACAAGGCAGCCCTGCTAGTCCTCAAAACCCTATTTTTTTCAGACAGCTGCACACTAAGCAGTTTACTCACCAAGGAAATGACCGAGAAATTAGATGAAATTCTACAGATTTTGTATCATGGAATTTATGCTTTTTATGCCTTAAATCCTGACTGGTTCATGGTTCTTCCTCAGGGAGAAGTAAATCACTTAAGCAAGAGCTCTGAGATGAAGATGGCATATATAGACCCTCCTGTGATTCAGAGTAGAATGACATCTTATTTCTAGGATTATTAAACAAAATGTTCTGTTGTGTAAAAACCAATGAGCACTTAAAAAAAATAAATAAATAATTAAGAAAGTCTATGAAACACTGCATACAGGAGGAGAAAACACTTACTGTAAACTCTGGCTGTTAGGCATGTTAGGCAATCCCTAAAAGGTTCATCTGCAATGGCCCTTATGTTTTATTATTTTCTATTATCAAAATGTTTTCTGTTGAATAAAACAGTTAAGGCAAAACTGTACTGCCTATCCCACCCATTCCTGACAGAGCATTCATCAAACTCAATTAGAAAAAAAATCCAGGCTACAGATGTGCTATCAGAGACCAAATGATGCTGAGAAATATCTGAGACGCAGTTTGCAGAAAACACTATATTAACATTTGTGTATATAGATGGTTAATTTTATGTTTTTTGGCTATGTGCAACATACATTAAAATGAAAAATATGTTAGCAGTTTGTACTTGCAGGAAAAGTAACTCATGTTTTTGTGAACCAAATAATTGTGTTTTAAACTTTTCATTGTGATCTTTATTTTCGTATCTAATACTCTATGCCTAACCCATTGTAAGATGATTGTTCCTACACCTATACAAATACAGTATGCACCAAGAGATTTGGAATAGCTTAAATAGTCAGCAAAGAGGCAGCAGATGACTTCTTAAGCACATATGCAATTTAAACAAATAGATATTTCCAGTGCTATAAATGGCCTTAGTATCTCACTATGCTTTCTATTGAGGAAGCACAGCGAAAAAATCAATCAGCAGCAGCCAACCTCTTTCTGTAGCTATGCTGTCAGGCTATGGAAAAGTCTTAGTAGTGCTGGGTGTTTTAATGATGTCTGCAGCATAGCTTTTGCCGTCATGACTTTGTCCTAACTTCACTAAAAGGGTGCTTGAACCTGCAGGGCAGAGAGACCTTAACTCCACTGAGAATTGGGTCTCCCCCAGGACATTTTGTAGGCAGTTCCTCAGGAGGAATGTTGCTGAGTTTTCCTGATTAAGATTCAATAATTCCCTTTCCTGTGTTTGTGAGGGGCAAAGGCAGAGCTGGAGGCCTTTATGGTATGGACCTAACAACCTGACTCAAATCGATACAATACAGACGGAACAACAGGTCAAGTGTGAGACGGTCCAGAGTCATCAACAGGGAGAAAAATGATGCAGGAAGCTTTCACAAAGAAGCTGCTCTTAAGGAAACAGATGAATAAGGAAAGAGAACTTTTTAGTGTGTGATGAGTGGGAGGTTGGTGTATGTCCAGAGTGGAGCAGGAGGCAGTCTTCAGAAAGCAAAAGTGGCTATAACAAAGGAAGGAGAGGAAGTAAATTTTAAGTTGGTATTTTTTTTTCTTTGTATCTGTAGCATCTGATTGAAAAAAAACCCCAAATTATTTCTATGGAAAATATCAAAGTTCCCCTCCCCCCCCCCCCCCCCCAAATTTTCAATATTACTATTTCAGTAGACATCTCTTTCTTTTAGAAACAAATGACTTCTTTCAATTTTCTTATCAACAATGAAAACATTCTAAAGCTTCTTTTCTATTAAGGATTGTATGAACAAAAAAGCTTTGGATTTTTAACAATAATAGTTTTAAAATAGTGCTTTAGCACAAAAGTATTCTTCACAAAGACCCTTCTATAATTTAAAACATTTTCTGCTGAAGTAATTTCAACTGGTTTGTGCTATCAGTAATCTTCATGGAGTTTACATTAATCCACAAACATTGTACAGTGTGATGAAGCTGATGAGAATCAACAAAGGATAAAGTAGAGTATCACAGCCCAGATAAAGAAACCCACTGTTTAATGCCAGCTGCTTAGGAAATGTCAAAAGTAAAGTGAGTTTCAGGTCAAGGGCACTGGGAACACTTTGTTGGCAAACCCTAAGACAGGCAGCTTTTGTTATTAGTATGAACAAGGATATGGTGAGTCCTTTTTAATCTATCCTTAGACCTCCTTCTGGCTTCCCAGACACAAATCTGTCCCATTTGGGCTCACCTCTGTGGCATTGCTGGGTGTTTTTCAAAACATACCTTCTTTGGTCTTTCTAATGTTCCCCATCAGGTTTCCTAAAGGCCAGGATTTCAGTGAAAATCCTTGTCCTAGGAGACATGTGGGCTCAGTGCCAGGCCTTGAAAGTGCAGGAAATAGTGAGCACCTGCTCTTTTTAAAACTTTCCATGACAGCAAGGATCTTTCTTCACCCCTTGTTTTTCTGCCATGTTATTTAACAGTACCTGCGTCAAGCCCATTTCCATCTTGCACACCTTTGCCTTTGAGCACTTTGGTGTGTTATTCTGGAGCATTTAGGTGGTGGGTCGTTAGTGTAACTTGTTTATCACCAGCTAGATGAGTTGTACCTCTTGCTACAACACTAAATTGGCAAATGAATCTTCTGAAGAAACAGGACCAGTGTATGGGGAGGTTAATAGCTTGATGAATCTTTCTATAAGTAGCCCTTTCATGGAGGATGGGGTACTATTACAGGTGACTAGGAAGCAGAGGATCTGGTTTGGGAGAACTAACATGGTTTGTACAGATAAAGTCTGACAAAGTGTCCCCAGCAAAGTGCTGCAGAACAAGACAAATGTTGACATTCACTCTGGAATGAACAGCAAACAATTTGGCCCTGTAACTTCAGAGCCATAATAGGGTCCTGCAGATGCACACCAAGTCAGTTGTGAAATACAAGAAATTTTGGAATGATTTTGCAGGTTAACAGCATGGTTTGATTCTTTCCTTACTAATGTTTTTACCACCTCTGAATTTTCAGGCATCCCCTAAATGCATGTTTGGTCCTTGAATGATATGTACCAGAGAAAAAGTCCTAATATAAAACTGTGCAATGTACTTCCTCACATCCATGCTGTTAACATGCTGTGGGATATGGCTTGTACATTTTTATGAGACAACAGTAGGAAACAAACTTCTTCAGTACAAAGTCTGGGGCCAATTCTGTTTAATATCTGTGATGATCTGGATGAAAGGATCAAGTGCAAATAACTTTGTAGAAAAACTTAGAGTGCTCAGTAAGTTTGCAGAGAACACCAGGTTGGGTGGGAGTGCTGATCTGCTGAAGGACAGGAAGGCTCTGCAGATGGATCTGGACAGTCTGGATTGATGGGCAGAGGCCAGTTGTACGAGGTTCAAAAAGGCTGAGTGCTGGGTCACAACAACTCCATGCAATGCTACAGGCTTGGGGAAGAGTGGCTGGAAAGCTGGTTAGTGGAAAAGGACCTGGGGTGTTGGTCGACAACCAGCTTAACATGAGCCAGCTTGTGCCCAGGTCTCCAAGAAAGTCAACAGCATCCTGGCTTGTATCAGCACCAGCGTAGCCAGCAGGGCCGAGGCAGTGATCATCCCCCTGTACTTGGCACTGGTGAGGCCACACCTTGAATACTGTGTTCAGTTCTGGGCCCATCACTGCAAGAGAGGCACTGAGGTGCTGCAGTGTGTTCAAAGAAGGGCAATGAAGCTGGTGAAGGGTCTAAAGCACAAATGCTGTGAGGACGAGTTGAGGGAACTGGAGTTGTTCAGCCTGGAGAAAAGGAGGCTCAGGGGAGACCTTATTGCTCTCTACAACTACCTGAAAGGAGGTTTTAGTGAGGTAGGTAGCGGTCTTTTCTCTCAAGTAACAAGCAGTAGGATGAGAGAAAATAGCCTCAAGTTGCACTGTGGGAGGTTTAGATTTGATATTAGGAAAAATTTTTTCACTGAAAAGGCTGTCAAGCATTGGAACAGGCTGCCCAGGGAAATGGTTGAGTCACCATCCCTGGAGGTATCTAAAAGACATGTAGATGTGCTTAGAGACATGGTTTAGTGCTTTACTGGCAATGCTAGGTTAATGGTTCAACTCAATGATCTTAAAGGTCCTTTCCAATCTAAATGATTCTGTGATTCTATGAAATGCCTCAGACATGCTGGTGTTTGCTGTCTCCCGCACAATCCTTTTCCACACAAAACTTGTTTCTGAGCCTGGAAAGGGCCTTTTTCTGAATGAGCCATGAACAGTTACTCCAAAACAACTGGTTATTGGCCTTCCCTTCCCACTCCTCCTGTAGCAGCTGTTGGTAGGATCACTGCAAGCATAGCCACAGAAATTGCTTTAAAAGCAGCTTGGTAGCTGCTCCAGCTTTTCAAGTCAGCTGGCAGCTGACTTGTGAAGCTGAAGCCAGCCGGCAGTGAGATGTCTAATACAGATCCAGAAATTACTGTGTATTTGCAGTAATTACCATACTGACATACCACACTGTTTTGTCCATATTCTGTGGTCAAATAGATCTGGTCAAAATGTTGCTATCTATCCAAAACGGAAATAAAAAAATGAGAGGAATAATGGGACTTTGGATGTTGATCCTATATGCCAGAATTCTACTGGATTGCAAATATCTTCTACAGTCTGGGAAGAAAATGTGCCATGATGGGTAGGATCTTTCTGGAGAAGGAACCATGATATCAGAATTATGGCTCTTTCATAAGGAGTAAGTACAGTAACAGTGTAGTAACGGTGATACGGTAGCTGGTTATGTGAATAAAAGTAGCATAAATAATTAGTGTGTAATAGTTAACATTACTTAGGTAATTTGTAAGAAAAATCTCCATTTTCCCTTCAGCAAACCCTGTGTAATGTAGTGGGCTGCGGTGTTGTGTGTTATTTGAGCTTTTCAAGAGACTTTTGAACTCATAACTATCAGGAAAGCTGGCGTGTTTGAATATGCCTAGGCTAGCTTTGGATTTATAGGAATTTTGTTGGCATTAGTATCAAAACTCATATTGTGATCAATGGAAACAGCATAGAGCCTTCATTTCCTAAAAGTAATTTCCTCGAAGGTAAGAAAGCACCATAAGATCAACTAGTTTGATGTCCTCTATAATACAGCTTTATATAATTCACATATATTTTCGGCATTATGACTGTAGTTAATTTATATCTTCAGGGGTAACAGTTGCATGCCACAGGCATAGAACAGAAAGAATAAGCTATAGTGCCAAGTATGTGTAAGGCCCCAGCAATGATGGAGAGTTTATTAAATGGGACATGCCTAATTGATCATAATTAGTGAAAGTGATACCTTCACCCATCTTTTAACTA